AAGCAGCGAGGAGGGTTCATTGCCGCAGGGCTGCAGTGCAAGAAGCCTGTCCCCCCCCCGGGCTGAACGGGGCCGCCCGTGGGGTAGGGGGCTAGTGAAACAGTTGGAAACAAGCACGGACACACTGAACATGCACTGCTGACCCCAGCATTAAAAAAAAAAAAAAAGCCCAAGTCAGAGCCAGGTTAGGTTGTTTCTGCACTGACATTTATAAGCATCCATTAAATACACGTAAGAGCCAGTGAACTGAACGCTTATTTCACATCACGCAAGTGGTTATCCACTGCCTCCCACTCCTCCTCTAGCCCTTAGGAGCACAGCAGCACCCACAGGCAGTTTCACAGAAGAGGTTAAGCCAACTGATTTCTTCCACTTGCTCTCTGTTAATCAGAAGTCCTCTTTTTTTTCTGGTTTGCTTCACGTCTTTTAAAACTTAGTACTTGTTAACATAGTGAAGACAGGAGGAGAAAAACTCTCTGGTCAACAACCCTGTCTCTTTAGAGTTGTCTTTAACATTTTGTAGGTAATGGTAAAGTGTCACTTCCATGGTACTAAGCCCTTCCTAGGGTAGTTCCATGCTAAAGGCTGTGTTGATGGGGCACTGGTGCAGTACTGCTAGCACCACAGGATGCCCACAGAAGTGGAGCCTTAGCTGAGATGAGCTGAATTTTTCACCTCAGCAGAAGGCTCATAGTTTGAAGTCAGTGAGCAGCAAAGACAAATGTTCAGAGAGAAAAAAGGAGAGTGAACAAGCAAATGCTAGCCTACAGGAATGCATATGGCAGGTCTTCGTCAAGTGTTCAGTTGTAATGCAGTTAATGTAAAGTGTGTGCATGCATGTATGCACATGCACACACTCTTCTCCATCTCTCTGATCCTGTCTCTGAGCCAAACTATTTCAACCCCTCACCCTCAGGTTTCTTCTGCTAAATTAATCTGGCCTATACTGTCATTCACATCCTGTTGATATTTTGGTATTCAGCTTTGTGTCCAGATCCCATGATCCATGACTGCTGTTGCCTCTGGCATACTGAAACAGTCCTCTACTTACCATGATTTTTATTATAAACCCTGAAGCTCCAGTAGCTAATTTCTCTTTAAAATGGCATACATAAAATGCTGTAGTATGGTATACAGTCACACATGAGGCTACATACTGTTTGTTTGGGCTCATTCATTTCACCATTTGTGGTTGGCTCCAGAAATGGTGGAGGTTTACCTTTTCTTTCCAAAATCACATACTATAGCTTTACCTCAGTATTTTAACTAAACTGTAGAAAAGAGTTTATAAAAATAGAATGTACCTGGATTACTGTGGCCTCTACAACCACACAATCCCATCTGTGTTTAGCAACCCACTTAATTTTTATATTAAAAATACTTTAAAAAGCATCCTTAAGTGAAACCTTTCACACACTTAACACAACTTGGTATCTCAAAATGTTTGCTGTACAAGAATGTGCTGACAGAGAAAGTTAATGTTGGTGAGGTTTCCATCTTTCAGTGAAGAAAGTCATCACTACTGCATAAAGAAGGTAAGCCAGAAGAAGAAGGAAAGTGCAGGCCAGTGGTCCAATACAGAACTGGGATGCAATGAAGAAGATCATGAACAAGGAAAGAAGAGTCCTGTAGCTGGCTAGAAATCTCAGACTGATCTTTGGTTGTTGCATGTGTCTGGATCTATGCTTCAGCATTGGGCTGTGCCTGGTTCTCTCTGCAAGGAATGGGTTGATAAGATGATAGCGACAAAAACTGCCAACGAAGTCTTCCCTGGAGCAAAGATTCTCCATTTGTTCAGCAAACTAAGGTAAGAAAAGTTTAAAGTTAGTAACAGTGGAAATAAAAATACATGACATTAATATGAGGATTTTAAGTTCATAATAGCAATTTTTATCTTTTGGTTTACTTTGTACTAAGACAAGATGGAAAGAGGATTATTAATACTCGTTGAGATAGCAGTGAGGGTAGGAGGGGACCCCCCAAAAAAACATCCTCCCCCCCTTCTCTGGTCAACAACCATGTCTAAGGTGTGGGGGGGGAAGTAACCCAAACAAACAACATTGCATATTTCAACACGTAGAACTGTTCAACACAAATTTTAATCAGTTCTGCTCATTTTCCCCTCAGTATTACAAAGTACTAGACAACCAGGGGAAAACTCTGCTACAACAGCAAGCTATGGAATCCTGGTGGGATAAAGTGAAAAGAGGATTAAGTAGGATTTATATGCATAGGAGACAAGGGCGGGGGGCAAGGACTTGCTGGGAGTCTCTTCCTCTTCATTTTAGAAAACAAAATACCCCTTTGTTATACTTCCATAGATTTCATAGACGTTAGGGCTGGAAGATCATCAAGTCCAGCCCCCTGCCCCAGGGGCAGGAAATCAGCTAGGGTCAAAGGATTCCAGCAAGATAAGCATCCAATCATTTCTTGAATGAGTCCAGAGTAGGTGCCTGCACCACTTCTGGAGGTAGTCTATTCCAGGCCTTGGGGGCTTGGAGAGTAAAGAAGTTTTTCCTTATGGCCAGCTTAAAGCAGTCATGGAGGAGTTTATTACCACTGGTCCTTGTTATCCCTTGGGGCACTCTGGTGAACAGATGTTCCCCCAGATCGTGATGCACACCCCTTACATACTTATAGGCAGCTACCAGGTCAGCCCTGAGCCTGAGCTTTTCCAGGCTGAAGAGTCCCATGGCTCTCAGCCTCTCATAAGGCCTATTCTCTTGCCCTCTGATCATGTGCATGGCTCTCCTCTGGACTCTCTCAAGCTTCTCAACATCCTTCTTGAATTGTGGAGCCCAGAATTGGATGCAGTACTCCAGCTGCTGCCTCACCAAGGCCGAGTATAGTGAGAGGATGACATCCTGAGATTTACCTGAGAAGCATCTATGGATGCAAGCCAGAGTTTTGTTTGCTTTACCAGCTGCAACATCACATTTGTGGCTCATGTTCATCTTGTGGTCAATCATGACCCCCAAGTCTCTTTCAGCCATGGTGCTAGCAAGCGTAGCACTGCCAAGCCTATAAGTGTGCTGCGGGTCCTCAAGTTCCCTGCTGAGCCAAGGGAGTTGCTGTGCCCTTTTGCTACCCTTCCTCCGAGATGCGATGGACAACGCTTGTGCTGTCAGGATCGTTCCCTTGAGGAGCAACCACTGCTTTTGGACTCTTCTTCCTGTTGAGTCATGGGCTTCAACAGTAAGCCTCCTGAGCTTGTCAAAGCCAGCTTTCCTAAAGTCAAGGACTTCTGCATTGCTGACTGACTTGCCACCTTTGCGTTGGATAGTAAAGGTGATCAGCTCGTGGTCACCGTCACCCAGCTTTTCACCAATTCTTAGGTCACTGACTAGGTCATCTCCTTTGGCCAGTACTAGGTCCAGCCATGCTTTACCTCTTGTCGGCCCATAGACTTCTTGAGTCGGGTACAGCTTGTCCACGCATGTGGAGGAAATTTTGAGACCAATCAGATTTGGCCGCGTGCTCTTCCCATGAGATGTCCGGGTAGTTAGTCTCCCATGACAACCATGCACTGAGAGCGCGCAGCCTCAGCCAGTTCCCTGGCGAATTCTTGGTCTAGCTCTTGTTTCTAGTTAGGAGGTCTGTAGGAGACTCCTACCACGATGTCCCGTGCCACATTCCCCACATATTTTAACCCAGAGGGACTCCAGCCGTCCTCCCCGGGTGCCAATTTCAGTTTGCAGGGATGTGTAGCTTTCCTTGACATAGAGAGCTACACCCCCACCCTTTTATCTGCACGATCTCTCCTGTACAGGGTATAGCCATCTATACCTGTGGCCCAGTCATAGGTGGAGGCCTACCAGGTCTCCGTTATGCCTATGAGATTGTAGTCATTCTTGTTTAGCAGGAGGATCAGTTCCTCCTGTTTATTCCCCAAGCTCCTGGCATTGGTGTACAGACACGTAAGTATCCCATTGGAAGCCCTAGGTTTCCTTACACTCCCCTGGTGGACACCATCCCTGGTGGAGGCCATCTCTTCCCTATACTTGTACATACTAGTACAGTCTTTTGCAGGATATTCTTTTTACCTCAAATGTCATCTTTATGATAAATTAGTTGATTCTGAGTGAATCTTGTGAAATATATTTTATTACTGGTTGAGCAACAGGAAAATAAAAATTGCTCCAGGCTAAAGAGCCCACCTAAAAACACTAGGGAATATGTACATGCTCATGCTGAACTCACATTAATAGTGAGAGTACAGAACAAGTGTGTACCATAAGTGATACATATGCACAGGTAGATGAAGAAGATCTCTATGCAACTGAAAACACAGGGAAAGGAGACTTCATGTTGTACTTACCCTTTGATTAATTGCTGAGGACAACTGGAACAACAGCCGTACCAGTGTGGCATTTTCATAACTTCTGATGGGCTGCAGTTCAGTATCTCCTTGGTATGCTATCTCAAATCTGCGCAATCCATTTATGATCTAGAAACAGATTAAAAAAAAAAGTCTCAAATGTTAAAAGGCATTTCAGGCTTGAGCTTTAAATTGCTCAGGACTATCAAATTTGTTTGGTCTCCTCAGACTAGATCCAGACTGTGGAGTTCTTTGCAGGCCAGATCTAGATCCACCTCCAGCAGGAAGACAAGCCGGCTGCTCCATCAGCTCAGGGAGCCATGGGGCTTAATGTAGCTGCTGCTTCCCCTACCATCACTGAAACACATTCCTAGGTGGATTCCATAACCTGGAATTCTGTTGCAAGCTCTATCTCCAAATTCCCGGCCCCTCCAGGTGTCCCACAGGTTGAATGTTTGATGACCCTGTTCTAGTTTATCGGCTGGAAAAAAAAAACAACAAACTTGCCCTCTTACCTGATACCTGCCAAGAGGTGTAAGAATTAACCCATCCTCACTCTCAATGCTGTCTGGAAGCTGCTTCTTTCCGTTCTCATCTTGAGCTGTCCCACAGTTCATCATCATTTGGGTCAGCTGGGCTTCACTCAACTAGTCAAAAACAAGACCAGTTTCTTGGTCATTTTTGTGCTTTTCCCTTATCTATTCTATCTATTCATTGGCACCTATGCAGTGAAAGTCACCACTAGCTACATATCTAATGACTGCCAACAAAGCAAGTATAGAAAATGATCCTTTTACCAGTCTTGGTTATAAGCCGAGATTTAAGTCAATTTTATCCTGTGTTCATTAGATGATAATCCTTGGTAAACAAGAATACTGCTAGGTCCTAATATGTCCTAGTCTTCCCGTGACTGTTGCACAGTTCTGTTTTCTCACCAGACCTGTTCAAGTGAACTTTTACAAAAGAAAACCTCTCTATCTTTTCAGCTGAATGAGACAGGAAGCAATCTTCCAGTCTTATTGGTGTGCAGCACCCTTTCATTTAGAAAAATATTTAACATTCTTTAAAAACATTAAAACATACAATGCCTCCTGGTAAACAGGAAACATAGGCATATGGAATATATGTATGTATTACCTAAATGCATACTTATTCTGTTTTCCCACATTTGGATGGGTTAGGCTTGATATTTAGATGTGCTATCCTTCCTTAACTCCAACTGTACTTGAGGCAGTTTACAGGGGTCCAGTACCTATGAAAGGTTAAATGTCTCCAGTTGAACTACCCAAATTAAGTGGCCACTTTTGATATGCTTTGTTGAAGTGATTGGGCAATGGTGGCACCATAAGTACACAAGAGAGGGAAACAGATTTCAAGAGCCTTGACTCCTGACAATACTCATTCCTAAAAATAGCTCTTGGAAAACAGTGACATACCCTAAAGATCTGGCATAAGTACTCCAGTGCCTTCTCCAGATATTCATCTGTTTTCTTGATGTTTTCTTGCCCAATTTCATCTAGGTCATTGCCTGTATAAGAACCATTCATCTCAGAAGGGCCAAACCTAAACCAAGATAGGAAGGACTTGCTAGCCAGGGTCTCAGCAGAGTGGTCAGATATAGATTTTGCTGTCTGCTGGGCTTGGCATATTAACTGTGCCAATCGTAACACCTGAAAAATAAGACACAAGGTAGAGCAGAGAAAACAACAGGTTAAAGGCTGTAAGTAAATGCTGCTAAGAAAATATAAATTTGCCTGGTGACCTGGCAGTCAGAGTAGAACCAGCATGTTCATTCCCTTAGCTGACATGCTAGTAGCAACCATGTGCTGCGTCTCAGGACTGCTGAGTGAAGGGACATTTAGAAAAATGCAAATACTCCTCAGCTTCCTCCAAAGTTTCAGCTCCATTGTTTTGGAAGTGCTAATAAAATTCTCCCACGTCTTATTCCTGACAGTGCAGATGTTCAATATAGAAACGTGCACTTAAGAAAAAAGGTGCACAGAGTTTTTGCTTACCAAATTTCTGACTTCTGTGCCAAACATCTGTTTGTACTGAAAGTCCTGTCCTTCTAGGCTGTAAATGTGACTCTTCACCTTAAATGAGGCATCTGTGATGGCTGGAGGCCATGATGAGAAGAAGGTCCCACCAAGGGTGGGAGTCATGAAAATCCGATGCTGCCGGTGAGGGATAACAAGGTCCGGCTCCAGGAATAACTGCTCTCCTAGAATATGTGATCAGACAAAGGGTGCAGATTGTTACACTTTCCTTCTGGTTTGAGGTTCTAGCTGCATAATCTCAAGTGATCATGAAAACTAGGAGCATAATTTTTTGCTATACCCAGCAGTATATTCTTACTATTGAAATACTATTTTTTGTGGAAACAAAGAGGAATCAGAGAGAGAAACCAGATTTAGAAAAAATGACAAAAAAATGCTTGTTTACATGTCTGAACTAGTTCTACAAATAGCAATAAGAATATCAGGGCTTAGAACCATTTTGTAGGAGTCAACGCTTGCCTCATGATTCATATCTTCATGCCTCTGGAGCAGGGGCAGGCAAAATATGGTCTGTGGGCCATATCTGGCCCACCAGGCCATTCTATCCAGCCCACAGTGCCCCTAAAAAATTTAGTAAATTAATATTTATTTGCTCCAGGCTGCCTGTCAAAGATGACAGGACCCAGGGGGAGCCAGGAGGACCAAGTAGTCCAGCCCCACTCCACTGTGGGCCAGTTTCCTACCTTAGCACAGCTCCTGCACACCGTCTCCCCATGCTGGATTGCTAGACTGGGGAGCATGGGCTCCACTGGTACCCTGGGGCCAGGAGCGAGAGGGGGATGTATGTGTGTGAGAGAGTGAGCGAGGGCTGGGGCAGAGTGTGTCTACATTCATAGGGTGTGTCCCACCCCCCCCACCATACACATGCACCCACACACCCCCTCGCACAACCCAGCCACCCTTCCCCCACAAACCTCATACCTACCCATATCCACATGTTCCCTCACCCCACAGCCATCCATCCCCCCAGACACACCCATGCCCTCTCCCACACCCCACATACCCACAGACCGCCACAAACCTATACACCTCCCAGAACATACAAGAGTAAGACTTCATTTTAAGCTATTGTGCAATCACCTCTGTGTACACTACAAAAACATGTAAATCAGGACAAAAATATTTCTGAAATCAAATTAATGAATGTTGTAGATGTTTTCTTTTAGAATATAAATTTGGTATTTTTCTAGTTTTGAGATGGCAAAGACCCTTGCTGAAAGTAGTACTTCCAGGGGACAAGGGGAGGGACTTCTGGTAGCAAAGGTCAGGGGTTAGGGGGCGGGACTTTGTCACAAAATGGGCAGGGCAACCCATGTGGCCCTCAACAGCTTGCCCAAACTTAGTAAGTGACCTTCCACCCAAAATAATTGCCCACCCCTGCTCTGGAGGCTAGAAGTGGACATTGGTGAGAAAAAAACCAAGGCAGGACATTGCAAGTAGACATCATGTTATCCAATTACCTTTCTGGATCATTTCAGATAGGTTCGGCTGGGCGAAGACCTTGGCTACTCTGAACACCATCAGGGCATTTTTAGGGCTGACCAAGTCTGTGCGGAGAGCCCTGTTCAGAAAGCCCACAAACAGCTTTGTGTACATCAGTAGATTTTCTTGAACAAAAGGAGCCCTGTCAAAATAATGCACTGATTTGTGAAAGGCACTGTTCAAGTCAGTATATAAATATCCTCCTGATATGGAAATCACCCTTAAGAACATTTCAGACTATTGACTGACATTCTTATTCTTTTCATGTCACACATGCAGAAGAATCTCTCTCCTAACACAAGAAGTTTCAGTCACCAGAAACAATTCTCTTAGTTTGTGTCAGAAGATATTAAAATGGGTAGGTGGCCTGGCAGTGCAATGACAGGGCTTCAAGAGACAAGCTCAAACTTAATGTGTGGTTCAGGAAGAAGAGTTTCTATCAAAAGAACCAACTTCACTTCCGCCTGCACAATGATCCACACAAAACTGATGCTGGCTCTTCATTAAGCCCATAGTCACTGCTGGATGGTCAGAGCCATCAAGGGTCTTAGGAAAACAGAAAGCACTGTAAAAACTATTAGTATGTCACGGACAAAGGATTTAGGCTTAGCACAGTTCAATTTGGTCATCTGGAGGGAGTTTGAGGAAGGTGGATGGAAGAAACAATGAACAGAGCCAGCACAAAGCAAAATAACTGTAAATGGAAATAACACAATTTTACCCATGTCAGGAAAACCAGATGCATCTTCCCTGTACTTCTCAGCAGGTAGGCCAGTTTAACACCTGCTGTAAGTAGTAAGGCTACTTTTCTCCATAAGTCATAATGAATGCAATGGATTAAAACTAGGGCTCTATTTCTCAGCCTCTTCCATACCATGAACCATGCAGCAATAGAAAGATATTACAAATTCTCTTCCCAATCTGTAAAAAAAAAAAAAAAAAGGAGGGGGAACTTGACAGCTTAGTGATAAACTAGGTGATAATGGGAGTCAGAGTTTAAAACTCTAGCTTCAGGATTTCCTTATATAAAATCTTAAGTTACCAGTGAGCAAAAGCCACTGGCTGATGTCAGAGTTAGTGTGACCTGCATCAGTTATACAGGAATATTTTCTTACCATTTCTCTGCAACACTACGAAGCTGGGGGTCTGCACTCTGAAGTGGTTTCTCAGGAGCATATCTCCAAGGCTGCAGATAACTTAACCACATCTCTAGAACCTGAAGCAAACATACAGATATACGGGAGTCAATTACATCAGAAGAGGAGGATCTTGCATATTTATTTTCTAAAGTCTTGTGGACAACAGCATACTTTCTTCATGCCATTAAACATTTTTAAAAAGAGCAACTGTGGAACAGTTGTGTGTTAACCCTCCTTCACTCCTCACTTTCCAGTATAGAAATTCCTCAAACAAGAAACTACTAGACAAAAGAATAAAAACTTGGCCTAATTAACTTCAGTGGAATGCAGATTTCTTCCCTGTGTTCCATTATGTTTTGTTACACTGCAGATGTGGCAGCAGAGCTGACCGACAACCAGCAAATCCAGGTTCTTACAGATCCCACAACTGTGATTAGGTTCTGATCAGCTCATCCCACAAGCATGAGAGGGAACCTTTATTTACAACAGCTTGCTAGAAGAAATTAACCCTGTGATCCTTTTGCCAACCTGGCTCAAGCGTACTATTAAATAGGATAAATAGGTATATGACCAATAAGGTTCCCTGGAGTAACAGCAGCCATTCTTCAATCGCTGGCCATTTTCAATAAGGGACAGAGAACAAACTACCACAATAATTTCACCAACACTTCAGAATCCCACTTCCTAAACCTATTCGACATCTCCAACTCTTATCTTAATATGTATAATATGAGATTCCACCTTTCCAGAAAAAAGGATCATGAATAGGAAACAGTGCTTCAGAAACAGTGGTTTAAACATGGGGCCAAATGCCATAATGAATTACTAGCAGTTCTAATTTTGTCTAGCCTCAGCAGAAAGAGAGAGACTAGTACCTACCGCTCTGAAAGAGGCATCTAGAGGCCAGTGGCCAAAGCAGTGTTGCAGGAAGATATACAGCTTCTGCTGGACAAACCGAGGAATCACCACCCTGCAATGAGAAATCAAAACAAATATATGGTGGATAATTAAAAAACAAAACAAAACAAAAAAAACTTCAATTTTTGAGAAACTACAAGAGAAGCAATTTCGATCAGTTTGCTCTCAGCTGAAGGCGCTGATGATCTGAGAGCAAGTTTGAAGAGAGTCTGCAACAGTGATATATATGCAAAACCTGTAATTTCATGGCAGATACTTCTGTGGGGCCAAGTACAGGCGATCCGATTATAAAACACTGCAATGTTTCCTTCCAACTTGTTTTGATCTGCACATGCCCCTTGCAGAAAATCTTAGAGAAATTATTTTTGCATCAGTTTGTCCACCTACTTTTCCAACCTGGCTTCATCTTTTCTCAGAGCAGATGCTGGGTAGCTGATGTCCAACTAGGTGCATCAGAAAGATAATCAGCCCCCAGCCTTTGAGGGATAAGATGAAAATCCTTGAAACAAAACAATTGGATTCCTCCTCACTTTTAACCAAAAGATAGCAGAAAAATGCTTCCAACAGAAGATATGTTTTGGCTGGGAGCAACTTCCTTTCATATTTCCAATCCTGACCTCAGCCCAAAGGGCAAGAGGAACATCAGGGAACCCTCAGATCTTTCTTATAATGCAATTTTTATCTTCGCTGTCAGAAAACTTGCTTTCATGCTCTCAACAGAAGCAAAAACAGTCCCAGAGATAGCTATTGCTGTTTTCTATACTCCCAAGAGGCAATCTGACTACACACCTACCTTTTGAATTCTTCCAGTGGGCTGGCTGTATGGGAGTGGGCCGAGGGGGAGATTGGTTCTGGTTTCAGGCTGTTGGTGAAAGCGTGCAGGTGCTTCACAAGCAGTCTTACCACTAACACATGCTCCTCAGTGGGTTTAAATGATTCCTGAAGGCAAAGCAACAGGTAAAACGATAAGGAGTTTTGTTAACCCTCCAGGAAGGAGCTCAGCACAGTGAGATTTTTTTCAGAAATCTGAACAGAACAGCCTGCCCTTGTAAACTCTTCAGTTTAGTTTGGTGCCGACTGATCTGAAGCAACTTGGTTCCCAAGAAAACAAGCAACTTCTGTTGCTTGTGCATCACACCTGTGTCTCCCTCAGTTCACCAACAGCAAGCCTTATTGGCCGCATCCAGACAAACACAGCCATGTGGTATGCGGCGCCGCAAACTTGTCTGCAGTGCCACATACCGCACATTCAGATGTTCTCTGTGCTACAAGGGAGCACTACCCATCCGTGTGCTGCTCCCCCTTTTTTTTTTTTTTGGACCCTTGGATATCCTATCCAGGAGTAAAAAAAAAAAAAAACTCACAGAAAAAAAAAGCCAAGCAGTGCATGCATGGACAGCACGTGCTGCTCACAAGTGGAGCTGGGCCATTTAGAGCTGTGCTGTGGCTGCCAGCCAGGCTCCATGCAGCAGAATCACCAACGCTGCAGCCCTGGGAGGCCCCCAAGAGCCCAGATAAGGCTGCTGGGGCCAGCCCAGTGCTGGCCCCAGCCTCCCCTACCCCACCTAGGATAACTTGCCACATGCCAAAGTGTGCATGGCACAGGCATTCCCTGGGGACAAGTAGTGGTGGCGCAAGGCGTTTTGCTGCTACTTGTCCCTGGGGAACCAAACGTCCACACTTGTGCAGATGCGGCCATTTTGTCACCATGCTTGTGGGGAGAAAGGGTGTATGGGTTTCTCCTGCAAATTATTTCCAGTTCTACTCACCTCTAAAGAGTACTAACAGAACATCACCAGGAAGTTTTATTTTAACTTACCCCTCCCTGAAAAAAAAGAATATCCATCCTTTAATTATTGCTTTAAGTTGGCTGCTGCAGATAGCACAACAGAACCTTTGTTGTGTTCTCAGCTAGCTCTTAATTGAGCCCTTCTTCCTATGCTGATGCTCTTCTGCCTTCTAAGAAAGAAGAATCCTAGAAAAGTTACAGTAAGAAGGGTATTTGCTTCTGTTGCTCAGAGCCTGAACAAGTCCATTACTTTAACCATCAACATAGGTTAAAGATTATTCAAAGGCAGTTCAGTCTCCTTCTTGACAGTGTGGGGGATTGGAAAGATCTTTTTCAATACAAGGAACCAAGGAGTTGGGAGGAAAGAGGGGTGGGAGGTAGTGTTGCTACTAGATGAGTGGCTATATGGATGTGTGGGAAGATAAAAAAGAAGCCAATTCTCAATCTGTCCCAGACATCCCCCCATAAAAAGCACCCTCTGCTTCCCCAGAGCCTGGTGACACTGAACAATCAATGGTGCTGCTATGTTTTCCTGCCCTGGGGAAACAGTCTCAATCCACCGTTGGAGGCAGATGTGAAAAGTGCTCAGTTTTCTTAAGGCTCTCAGCTCTGCTGTTTGTGGGAGATCAAGACTAGACAAAGGCAACAAGGTAACAGAGAAGCATGACAGAATCACTCTGGGCTGAGTGTGCTGCCAGTGCCTGTGAGCAGAGTTCCAAGGATGCCAGAAAGGAGCTGTAGGACGAGACTTAGGATTTTGTTTGCAGCTATTTTGTTGGATTTTTTTTTTAAACATCTACTTCTCTCTTTAGTTTAAACATAATTCTGAAGACTTTGTGGCACACTCATGACAGCTTAAATCCTACCGCTACTTCCAGTGCCTATGGGGAAGCTTTAAAAAAGTTTTTTTTGACTTTTAAGAAGGTGTGAAAATTTTCTGACACATTTGCTTTTCTAGGAAAGGGCTCAGGCTCTGATGGATAGTAGGCTACAAAGGGTCCTTACTGCAGGAAAGTAGCTGAAACTGTGACTTCTCTAAAGCATGGGATGCTTTATTACTGTGACTAAATATGACTCCACTTGTACTCCTGCCAGACCCTGCTCCCAGTAGAGGTGGAGTTAAAACAGGAGAGCATGCCAGTGGGAAAATGGCTGTGAATCAGTCTAGCCAGAGTCTGCAGGGGAGGGTACAGTATATAACAAGCAGCAGAGCTCCAGAGCTAGGAGCTTAGGTCAAGATTTTCAACAGTGATATATGATTTCTGGATGCTCAGATTGAGACCTTGAAGGGGTCTGAATTTCCAAGTCAGGGCCCTGGAAGTTACTTTTGAATTGGGAACCCAAAAATGGATGCACTCAAAATGACTAGTTAGAGCTGACCATCTTGGCTTGACTACTTCCAAAAAAGAGCTATAGTTTTATGTAATTTTTCAGCTGTTTTTGCAGTTTATCTCCATGGTTTGTTTTTACACTAACAATTATTGTGATTGCCCCCTTACATGGATCAACAGCATCACAACAGGCAGAGCACTTTTAAATTCATTTTAAAGTTATATTCTACATAGAAGTCTTCCTACTACACATAGAAAAGCAAAGAACTACATAGTTATAAGGTAAGAATAATTCTCACAATGTTAAAATAGGAGCTTTATGGAATACAAGCCCAACCAAAGGAAGAACCCAATGAATAAGTAGGGAAGGGGAACCCAGCAATCTGTTCCAACAGGAATGGATGCAGGAATTCACATTTCCTGAATAATCTGCAAATGTGCAACCCACGTACCCTTCCGCAAAGTTAGGCAGTCAAGCTCAAGCTGCCAGTGTTAGTTTAGAATCATCCAGATACATTCTACTAGTGTAGAACTATTGTTGACACATTACCTATCTCACTCATTACAGGTACAGCTGTGCAATCTTATCCCCCCACTCAGTGCAAGATTAATATAAAATGAGCAGTGAAAGACAGACAGACATCTGCCATAAGCAAAGCAAGTTGCTGGGCCAAGGAGATGTTAATACACAAAACTCTCCTTGTAAAACGTTAGAAGAGACTCATCTCTTAAAACAGGGATCCCAAATTGTTCTTTCTAACAACTTCTTCCAGCCTTCATTAGCATTTCTCCATATCAGGTGCAATATACTCAGTTGTCTTGCAAACCACACGTTAGCCATACAACCAGCCTTTTCTCCTAGTGCCAATTAATACACTTTACAGATTATATGATGGAACAAGATTCTTAAAAAGGAAACAAAATGAAAAGATGATAATACTTGATATGCGTGGAGGGCCTGGTAGCCGGATTGGGCAGGACTACTGTGGTGTTTACTGGAGATACTGAGTCGGTAGTGGAGAACCTCCAGCTGAGACAACAGAAACAAAAAGGAAGGGAGGGGGAAAGGAGAGAAGAGAGCAAGAGAAAAAAAAAAAACAACAGTGAGAATGATCCCAAGGAGGAGTGGTGGGAAAAAAAAAACAAACCCAAAAAAACGAATGTCACAAATAAGTCAATGACAACATATCACAACAGCTGCAGCTGTGGTATCCTCTTCTCCTCTTGTGCTTAGCTGCTCAATTCTGCAGTCCTCTCTCAAGCTGGGAAAATAATTGACAAATCACTATTGTCAAGTTCCCATTGAACATATGGGAGTCATGTGCATGTGGGGAGGATGACCTATGACTGTGTGTTGGCTATGACCGCCCTGCTACTCCAAAGACATGTAGAGGTTTGTATCAGTGACCTAAAAAGGAGTGCAGAAAGACATACAGCTTTTGTCAAAATAACTGAGGCAACCTGTGGCTCATGGAAATAAGTCCAGTCTCCCCATTAAAATTGGGACTGCAAGCCCAAAGAATAGGAGAGAGGGACAACCACACAGAATATTTTCAATTGTTTCTGGAAACACTGCTGCAGTTTTCATAGTGACACTGAAAAGCTACTCCATTAGTAAATTTGCAGCACACTTGAGAAGTCAAGATTACAGATTATTGCTTTCATGCCAGTGATAGGGAGATGCACTTTGTCCTCAAGACACTGAGGTAAAGGAAAAGGTGCTGGGTAACTGGAGGTGTGCCAAGTAGTGCAATCAACTGCAGTTTTGGCAGGGACCAGGTAGGAAAGCACAAGCTCCAAACCTTGGGTGTCTAGGTAAAGGCAGGCACCATTTCTGTGATTACAAGTCTGTTCAAAGAGCAAATATTCTCTGCTGTTACAAAAATACCATATACAAAGATAGACATGCCTGATATACAGGCTGACTAAGTGATCTAAAAGCCCAGCCATGACAGAATCTTGTCCAAATAGTGAAATCTTTGCAAGCCTCATATACACTTCCTTTGACAAAATTATTTTCTAAAAGCTCATCAACTTAGCAGGTGAAGAGGATACTGAAGCCAGACACACATGTATGGAATAAATTTAAAAAAAATCCAAAAACAAAAACATACACCTATACAGAGACCCAGATAACAATATCAGGCATCTAAACCAACTCTCCATATCACAACTCCTCTACATTTGAGCTACTACCCCTTCTCTCTATGGTCAGTTCGGTTTTTCAGGTGTCTTCTGTTTTGCTTCTACACTGCTGGACGAGCAGCAGCAATGTCACTGCAAGCTCCCCAGCAGCAGGATCCATCTTCTGCATCCGTAATTAACTCCCTCCCATGCTGAAGTGTGTTCTACATGCAGTCCTGAGATCTGTGGCACCTGAGACTGGAATGGCAGCAAGCAATAGAGAAATTCCAGCAGGTAATTAACTCCTTTTTTTAAAGGTTTGCTGTGACAAAAGCAGAAGCTAAAAGGGAAAGATACTGCAGATTTGGCCCCTGTTGAGCATCTGGGAAACAGACAGGGAGGGGAAAGCAAAATAGAAATGGGAGAACATTAAAACAGAAGGGAGTTGAACTGATGTAAAGAACGCAGCATAATAACTGTTGTCTCCACGGTCACTCTTCACTCAGAAGCAATTTAAAGCAGGACAAAGCAGAAAGGCTAGTAATTCTTGAAGTAAACTCTACTACTGCTCATCCCCATGTCCTAGCCCCAATACTCTACCATGACACCAAGTAAGGAAAGATCTTAAATCAATGTGAATCATTTTAATTCCTGCCTGTTTCTTTTCCCTCTGTCTCTCTCTCGTTTAAAAATCAGTATTTTAAAATACTAAGTGAGCCCAGCAACTGAGGCACTCTGGCATTAGCCCTCTCTCTTTCCAGGCATACAAGAGGAAGTATGTAAAGGGGAAGTGTAATAATCATTAAATCATTTTTCTTTTAATGTTTACAGTGTTCTGAGGATTTTTAGTCTCAAGAATTAAAAAATCCTCCTGATTCTGAAGAATTCTCACTTTCAGAAATTCTCATCTCCCATTTTTATTTGAACAACTGAGTTTGACTAGCTTTCTTCAGCCCACTCAGAAATCCTCAGTATAGCCTGTACAAGTATCTAATGCTGAAGAAGCATTCCCATCTCCATATCCCATACACCCATTTGAGAGTTCTGGAGGTGAAAGGTGTGGCTGGACTGGGTTTTTTTTTTTTTTTTTTTGAATGAAGAAAATGGCCCTTTCCTGAACCCCAAAAAAAGGGGGAATTTTTACATTCTCATG